GGGGGGGCGGGGGGGGTGCCCCAGCGCATCCTGACGGTGCTGCGCGTGCGCCAGACACCGCGCCTGCGCAGAAGCGCCTCTGCGCGCTCCCTCCCAGTGGGCTGTGCTGTCCCCTTCCGGGCCTCAGGCCCTGCGTGTGGCGTCACCGAACGCGGGGCGCCTGGTTGTGACGTCACAGAGCGCGAGGCCCCCAGCCCCTCTCCTGGCCTCCGCTCCAGCCAGTCTTCCCACCGTGAGTCGGGGCGTGGCGATGAACGGCGGCCGCGAGTCTAAGCAGGCGGTCCGCGGACAAAGTGAGCGGGCCCAGGTGCGATGGCAGGTGAGAGCGCGGCCCCGCGGGGTAGGCCCGGGTGAGGGAGTCCGGGCGGGCATGGGGCCCGCCATGCGCAGGCCTCTGCCGCGCGTGCGCCCCCTTCCGGGCAGCCCAGACCCGGCCTCCTGGGATGGACCCCCGCCCTTCGCCCCTACAGACTGGCCCCTGGTTCCAGCCTACGCCCCTTGCCGGCCGGGGCGGCTCCAGCGCCACCTCCTGAGCGGCGAGTTCGACCAGCTGCGTGACCTCCCCATCTTTGAGAGCAACTTCGTGCAGGTGTGGAGTCCCGGCGTCTCGACCCGGTAGCTGGCCCGACCCTCCCCTAGAACCACCTCATGCAGCTGTCGACCCGCAGTTCCTCCTCGGGACCCCTGAACCCCCAAACCTCAAATCTCCAGCCCTTTGATTCGAAGGCCTGTGCCTCAGTTTCCCTGACTTCACACACATATGGTTCTTGTCCTTTAAGATGTCCTGTCCCCGACATTTTGTTTTTTGGAGGACCAGTTGATGGCACCCAGGACCTCACACATGTTAGGCAGGGGCTCTATCGCTGAGCCACACCCCAGCCCCTCACTGGGGGATCCTAGGCAGGGGCTCTACCCCTGAGCCGCACCCATCTGTTTTATGGTCTTTGACCTATTTCTTGACAACTTCGAGCAACAGGGGCTCTACCACTGAGCTACACCCCAGCCCCTCACTGGGGGATTCTAGGCAGGGGCTCTACTGCTGAGCCACACCCCAGCCCCTCACTGGGGGAGCCTAGGCAGGGGCTCTACCCCTGAGGCACACCCCAGCCCCTCACTGGGGGATCCTAGGCAGGGGCTCTACCGCTGAGCCACACCACCAGACTGCCAACCTCTTTCTCAGTTCTCCCTGTTCATGATGAACTTTCACTCTACCAATATGCCCAACCGCTGATCCCTCTCCTGTTCTAGCCCCCCCCCCCATCTATTCTGTGTCAACCTTTGGCCCCAGGTGACCCGGTTTGGAGAAGTAGCCAACAAGGTCACCATGGGGGTAGCAGCCTCTAGTCCAGCCCTGGAGCTGCCAGACCTGCTTCTCTTGGCCGGCCCTGACAAGGAAAATGGACACCTGCAGCTCCTTGGGTGATTGCCCCACCTGGCCCCAGCCTCCTCCAATCTCCCTTCCCTTCCCAATACCCAAGGCCTCAGGGACTGCTGTGGGTATCAGCCCTCTCGACCTAGAGCAAGGACAAGGCAGTCCATACAGGGCAGGCGAGATGGGGGAGAACAGTCCTCAGTGACACCCACAGGGGTCAGGACAGTGGCTGTTTACACAGTGCTTTCTGCTTGCCGGGTGCCCCTTGGACCACGCCCACAGCCTCACCCCCTGTTCCAAAGATAAAGTTGAGGCTCAGAGACCTGGCCAGCTGCCCAGGGTCCCACAGGCAGATGAGGAACTAATGCTAGAATCTCAGGCTCTTTATAGCTGCAGATCTCAAGTTCAAGTCTGCAGTTAGAATCTACCCTTTCAGCGGAAAAAGTAACGGAGCAATAACGGAGCACATGAGAAAGCAAACCACTACGGTCAAACCAGGACCCTCACCGAACATCCTTTTCCCATCCTGGGCCTCCACCCTGCCCTGGCTGCAAATGGCAAACCTTTACATTCTTGTAGTGTATGTGCAGACTCGATCTTTCAGGACCCTCATATTTTCCCACCCCCATCTCAGGTCCTGTAAGATGGAGAAAAAATAGAGGCCAAGCCTGATGGTACAGGTCTATACCCCAGCTACCCGGAGGCTGAGTCAGAGGATCACAGATCCAAAGCCAGCTTGAACTAAAAGCGTGAGCTCCAGCCTGGACAGCTTAGTGAGACCCTGTCTTAAGATGAAAGTAAAAAGGGCTGGGGAGATGGCTCAGTTGGTAAAGTCCTTTCGGGGCAAGCTTGAGGACCTGAGTTTGAATCCCCAGCACCATGTAAAAAACCAGGTGTCATGGTGCATCCCTGTAATCCCAGCACTGGATGGAGACAGGAGGATCCTTGGGGCTTGATGGCCAGTCCAGCCAATCAGTGAGCTCCAGGTTCAGTGACTGGTGTGGTGGCTCCTTTAATCCCAGCACTAAGGAGGCAGAGACAGGCGGATCTCTGTGAGTTCAAGGCCAGCCTGGTCTACATAGCAAGTTCCAGGCCAGCTGGAGCTGCAGGGAGACCCTGTCTCAAAACAAAACACAACAAAAAAAAAAACATGCTATGGCCATGAACACAGGACCTGAGCTCCAGCCTCCTTTGTGTCTTGAGTCAGGTTACACACTCCTGATTGTAGCCGAGGGCCAGAGAGACTCGTTTATTGAAGTATTGGACAAGCACCCTTCCAGAGTCTATTCTAGGGTCAGCTTGTGACACTAGGGAACCAGGGCCATGCAAAATGAGGCCAGAATTCTTGTATTGAGGAGCTCAGATTCCAGGGGAAACTCAGACAAGCTTAGATGGTGATTTGTCACTTGGGGTGAGGTCTTTGGGGCCATAAGGAGGTTTGCAAAGGAGAATGTGGTTTTAAATAGGCCAGGGGAGGGGTAGGAGCAATGACTCAGCAGTTAAGAGTACTGACTGCCCATGCAGAAAACCCGGGTTCAGTTCCTAGCACCCACGTGGTGGTTAACAACCATCCTTAACTCCACTTCCAGGGGATCTGACGCCCTCTTCTGTCCTCTGCAGGCATTGCACAACATGGGTGCACTTCCACACATGCAGACAATACACTCATACACATACAATAAAATAGGCCAGGGGAGACCTTCCCCAAGCAGGAGGCCTCCTGAGAAGTGTAGAGAGAAAACTTAAAGGAGGAAGGGAAGGCCTGGGATAGGGTGGCACCAGAGCAGTGGGATACAGGTCCCTGGAGGAGCAGAGAGGCGCTCAAGGTCAAGTCCTGCCAGAGTGTTCAGGTCCCTGCTGAGGCCTTGGCTCTGACTTTGGGTGAGCCAAACTAAGGCCTTAAGCCTCTGGTGGACTGGTGGGGCTCAGGAGGACTCAGAGTACAGTTGGAAGGTAGTTGGGGTACAGTTGGAAGATGTGTTTGGCAGTAGGACAGGACTAGGATGTGAGCAAGACCGTTAACTCAGAAACCACCCCAAGACTAAGTGGGGGGTAAGTGGAGGCAGGGGGGACACCAGGAGTCCATGCTGGGCACTGTGGACATCCCACCCATGCACCCAGAACTGGGAGTCTCTTAGAAACGATGCAGGTGGCCTCAGACCCCCCAGGTGGGGAGTTCCCAGTTCAGTGTGGCCGCCCCTCTTGGTGCAGGCTGTTCCCCTTGCAGTTCGTGCAGCTCTTCGTGCGCGATGTGAGCCGCCAGCAGCTCAAGGTCAAGTTCCATACAGGCCGGGCCTTCTACCTACAGCTGCGTGCACCCGCTGACACCCGAGACCGTGAGTTTGGGCGCTGGGTGCGGCTGCTCTACCGCCTGCGTTTCCACTCGCCAGCCTGTGCAGTGCCCTTCACCCATGAGGACGCTGCCCCCGAAGAGGAGGAGGAAGAGGAGGAGGAGGGCAGCCAGGACCTCCAGCTGCGGCCCCAGGAGGTGAGGGCAGGGCAAGGGGCCTGCAGGAGCCTGAGGAGGAGAGATGGTTAGGGCCAGCCAGGTGAATGGGTCCACGTAGGCCTTCTGAGGTCTGTATCCTGGGTCTCGGGGAGGACTCCTGGGTGTGAAGGAAGAGGCTGGGGAGGACCCCCTGGGTCTGAGAGGAGGACTGGGAGGACCCTGGGTCTGAGAGGAGGACTGGGAGGATCCTGGGTCTGAGGGAGGAGGACTGGGAGGATCCTGGGTCTGAGGGAGGAGGCTGGGAAGATCTTGGCTCTGAGGGAGGAGGCTGGGAGGATCCTGGGTCTGAGGGAGGAGGCTGGGGAGGATCCTGGGTCTGGAGGAGGAGGCTGGGAGGACCCCTGTGTCTGAAGGAAGAGGCTGGGGTCTGGACTCCTGGTCTGAGATGCCCTCTCTCCTACTTAGCTTCAGTCCATGGAGGTCAAACTTGACCCACAGATCTCTGAACTCTGGGGACTCTGACTCGGGCAGTGTTCCAACTCACCAAAGGACTAGAGATAAAAAACAGCTCAGCTTAGAGCCAAGAGAGATGAATTTTTTAAGTTAATAAAGATCAGGCTCTTAAGAACAAACACCCAAGTCCTGGCTGTTTGCACTACCATCACCAGTTCTGCATCAGCCCACAGCCTGCAGGTCTTCACTGGCCATGATGACCTCCTTGAGCCACCATGACAGGTAGGTCCATACGGTTCTCAAGGCTTTTTGAGCTTTTCTTCCTTTCCTTACTTTGTGGTGCTGAATAGAACCCAGTGCCTCCCACATGCTAAGAAAGCTCTCTACACTGAGCCACACCCAGCCCCTCACTGGGGGATTCTAGGCAGGGGCTCTACCTCTGAGCCACACCCCAGCCCCTTACTGGGAGATTCTAGGCAGGGGCTCTACCTCTGAGCCACACCCACAGCCCCTCACTGGGGGACTCTAGGCAGGGGCTCTACCTCCGAGCCATACCCCAGCCCCTCACTGGGGGATTCTAGGCAGGGCTCTACCTCTGAGCCACACCCCAGCCCCTCACTGGGGGATTCTAGGCAGGGGCTCTACCCCTGAGCCACACCCACAGCCCCTCATTGGGGGACTCTAGGCAGGGGCTCTACCTCCGAGCCATACCCCAGCCCCTCACTGGGGGATTCTAGGCAGGGGCTCTACCCCTGAGCCACACCCACAGCCCCTTAATGGGAGATTCTAGGCAGGGGCTCTACCTCTTGAGCCACACCCACAGCCCCTCACTGGGGGATTTTAGGCAGGGGCTCTACCTCTTGAGCCACACCCCAGCTCTTTTTGCACTTAATTTTTTTTTTAATTTTATATGTATGAGTGGTTTGCCTGCATGTATGTAAGTGCACCTGTGCATGCAATGCCCAGAGGTCAGAAGAGGGCATTATGTCCCCTGGAACTGGAGTTACAGATAATTGTTAGCCATCATGTTGGTGCTGAGAACCAGGCCCAGGGGTCCTCTGCAAGAGCATCCCATGCTCTCAACCCCTGAGCCATCTCCCGAACCCCTCTCTTCACTTTGAATTTTGACACGGGTGCTCATTAAGTTGCTGTGCTAGTCTGGCCTTTCCTTCCACCTGCCTCGGCCTCCAGGTACCTGGAATGACAGGTATCCCAGGCCCATCTGGGCCAGTGGAAAGAGTTGTCCTCTGTGGGTGTTGACTGGCCTGCCTCCTCCCTCCCTGTGGCAACACAGTGAGCTGCATCTTCTAAGATGGTGACTGACACCAATAGAAGCTGTGTCTTTGGGGCTGCCTTGCAGCTGTAACCATTCCCCAGCCCAGCATGAGAACCCCTGCCCTCAGGGAGACAGGAGGCCATGGATTCAAGAAGGAAGGACAAATGATCCTTTGAGCAATAGTATTTAATTGCAGTGGCTCCCTCTAGGAGGAGGACCCCTCTAAGAGGAGGACCCCTCTAGGAGGAGGTTGCAGTCCAGAGGTCACTGGAGTGTCATCCAGGCTCCATCGTCCTCACAACATGACACAGGCTGTCACTGAGGCACTGGGGGTGAAATGAGAGATGAGGTGGGGTGAGGTGGTTTGCTTCCCCACTCTCTTAACATCCACCAGGCCCCTCTGCCAGCAGGGGGCACAAGACAAGTTCCTGTCCAGGGCTTGTCCCTGAACACTGGTGGCATTTCATGTGTTCTCATTCCCTTCCTCCCTCTCCTCTCCCTCAGCAGGGTCTCATGTAGCCCACGGTGCCCTCAAACAGGCCACATAGCTGAGGATGACCTTGAACTCCTGATCCTCCTGCCTCCACCTCCCTAGTTCCTGGGATGACAGGCGTGCATCACTGCACCTGATTTACATGGTGCTGAGGGTGGAGCCCAGGACTTGGTGCATGCTAGGCAAGCGCTCTACCAACTGAGCCGCATCCCAGTCCTCACCTTTTTCCAAGAGTCTCATGTAGCCCAGGTCGGCATCCAGCTGATGGCTTTGAGTTCCTGCTTATGCCTAAATTCTAGGATTACAGCTATGTGCAGCCATTCCCAGCCTTTTATCTCTACTATGTTTGTTTGTTTGTTTTGGGTGTTTTTGAGACAGGGTCTCACTATGTAGCTCTAGCTGACCTGGAACTCACTATGTAGATCAGGCTGGCCTTGAACTCACAGAGATCCATCTGCCTCTGCCTCCAGGGTGCTGGGATTAAAGGTGTGCACCACCACACCTGACCTATTTTTTTTAGTTAATAAATTATATGTGTGCACCTGTGTGAATATTTGTGCACATGAGTGAATTTATATACACCACATGCGTACAGGGGCCAGAAGAGGGTGTCAGGTCCCCTGGAGCTGGAGTTACAGGTGAGCCATTATGTGGGTTCTGGGAACGGAATCCCAGTCCTCTTTATAAGCAGTAACTGCTGAGCCATCTCTCCAGCCCTCTTTTTTTGTTTTGTATTTTGAGACAGGGTCTCCCTGGCCTGAATCTCCCTATGTAGACCAGGCTGGCCTCAATCCACCTGCCTCTGCCCACCCCACCCCCAAGTGCTGGGAATTAAAGGCATGTGCTTGTAAAGCTTACTTTGTAATTTTGACAAGGCCTTAGTGTGTAGCTCAGGCTGGCTTCAAATTCCTGATTCTCCTGCCTCAGCTTTCCGAGTGCTGGGATGACAGGTGTGCACACACACCACAGTCTAATGCCATTTTAAACCCTATACTGGGCTGTTCTGAGAAGCCGCTGGCAGCCAGCAATCCATGGGCTGCTGCAGTTTGGGGGTGCCTCTGAGCTGAGTTAGTCATCAGAAAGGGACCTCAGGAAAGTGGGCAGGCCAGGCCAGAGGCATGGTGATGCACAGAACAGCCACTCTGGCTGGGAAAGCACCTGGGACCCTGGGAATGGGGCAGCAGCCACTCCTGTTTGAGGGGCTGGGAAGACCGTGGCTGCGCTGAAAGACCTGGGTCGCCCTTGATCGTTTAATGGACTATGGCCCAAACTTAGGTGAGCAAGAGTGTTCCCAGCGGAGGGCTCCACACACGCGAAGACCCCGAGTAGAAGAAAACGTGTGATCAACAGTATCGCGTGGCTGGAACACTGCGTGGAGAAAGATGGGGACTCCAGGCTGGAGTTGAGCTGGGGGCGGGGTTGACACACAAGACCCTGAGTTCCAGAAGAGATCCAGGCGTTCTGGGGAGTTGGGGGTGGGGAGGCCAACTCAACTCAGAATCCCCACCCCCAACTCCCCAGAACGCCTGGGCTGGTGATCTCCAACCCCAGGGCCTTTTTGTGGCCCCCACCTTCCTGCCTGGGGCACCTGAGTCAGTTTTCCACGGGCCTGTCCAAGAGTCAGCCCTCTCCTCACCTCGCACTTCCAGCTTGCACTCTGCCAGGGCCTCCCCCAGCTCGTTAATGGCGCGGCAGGAGTAAGTCCCCGTGTCGGAGGGCGAGGGTCGGCGGATGTTCAGTGTCAGGATGCCCTGGTAGTTGGTTATGAGGAACTTGGGGTCTTCATGGAGTTCCATCTTGTTCTTCATCCATACCACCTTCGGCTGGAGAGAGGACCGAGAGAGGAGGCCGACTCAGAGAGGCTGCCCCAGACGGGGGTTAGTGACCCTTGGTTTCTTCCAAAGGAGGGTGACCCCTCCTGCACAGGGGAGACGAGAGGGCTTTTCCCTGCTCTCCGAATAAAGACCACAGCATGGGGACCCAATTTGGCCACCATTACCCCCTTTGTCCTTCACTCTAGCCACACCCATGGGGCACTGTTGCTGAACAGTCCTTCCAGGATTCTGGTGCTGCCTGTTCCCTCTTCCCACACTGCTCTTCCTGGGTCTCCTAACGCATGTGCCTGTCACCCACTTACCATGCCATTGCCAGACAGGAATGCCCTTTTACTGTTATCACAACTGCCTGCATTTCTCTGCCATCCTTACCACTGTTTATAGTTTTATATTATCATGTGACCTTAGATCAGTGTCCTTCCCACAACACATTGCCTCATCCACAAAGCACATACGAGGGAGGGGAAATAGTCACGAAGGATGTTATTCAGGATGTGGATGAATGAAAGAGCTGAGAAAAATGAAGCAATTAGCAGTGTGGATGGATGGATGGACAAATAAACAGCCAGGTCTGGAGGTGCACGCCTGTCATCCCTGTGCTCAGAACATGAAGGCAGGAGGATCAAGAGTTAGGGTTGTCATCTACACAGTGAGTTCAAGGCCAGCCTGGGCATACAGGCCCTGCCTAAAAGAGGGAAAAAATGGATGGGGGCTGGAGAGACGGATCAGTGGTTAAGAGCACTGGCTGCTCTTGCAGTGGACCAGGTTCAGGTCCCAGCACTCACATGGTGGCTAACAACCATCTGTAACTCCAGTTCCAGGGATCTGGTGCCCTCTTCTGGCCTTTACAGGCACCAGGCACACAGGTGGCACACTTACATGCAGACAAAACAAAAATAAATCCAGAGAGAGAGAGAGAGAAGGGGAACTAATCAATGCAGGAAAACTAGAGTCTGGACCAAATGTTCACAAACCTTTGTAGAAAGAGACACAGGGTAAATATCTCAGGATCCGCCTCCTCCAAGACCTCTCCTAAAGCTACCCTGCTACTGTTATGTGGAAGCATCAGGGACCAGGAGTGATAATGGCTCCTGTGCCGATAATACTTTATTGAGAAAAACAAGTAGCCGGCCTATTTGACCCACAAACATAATCTGCTTGGTTCTGGTCTAGGTGGGTACCCTGGAGCTCAAGGCCACAAGCCTGGAGAACTAAGTGGAACAGCAAGACCTCAGGGAGTTCCTGGAGGCCAACATGCCCACCTGAAGGTTTTCTAGGGAGTGGCTGCCCTCAGACCACTGTGCCTAGGCTGTGCCTGGTGGCCATGAGAGAAAACAGGAAGATAGGGACTGTCTGTGCTGGGGTCTGTGGAGGAAATTCCCGGGGCCTGGGGCAGCATGCTGCTGGTTTCCCTCGAGAGCCTCCACACAGGACACAGATCTGGACCCCGCCCTGGCACCTTCGGGTGGCCTCGGACCGCACAGTTGAGAGCTGCAGTGTATCCTGCCACCACGACACGGTCTATCAGTGGTGTCAGGAACTGTGGGGCTGACCGGAAGTCATGTTCCTTGTATTCCAGTGGTTTCAGGGTGATGCCTGGGGAGGGAGATACCTGTAAGCTGGACCCCAGCCTGGTGCCACCAGCCTGGAATCCCATCAGAGGGGCGTCGGGGTGGATCCCAGCACTGCACCTGTCTTGAGGATGCGTGCAGTGTTTTTGGAGACACCAGGAGAGTCGCTGAGGCCACAGATGTTCTCGCTGAACACACGAAAATAGTACTCGTTGCCCACGATGAGATCGGAAATGGTACAGCTGGTGTGACGGTTGTGTTCATAGACATTGAACCACTCCTAGAATAGGGACAGTGAGGGATGGGGCAGGGGGCACACAGGAGGGCTGGGTAGGAGAAAGCCCTGTATCATTCACACCGCCCATTATCAACCTCCCAGCCTCCTCACCCCAGGCTTCCCAGCTGTAGAATGGGGATCTCAGCTCTGCATTACCAGGACTACCTGTGTGTCCCATGTCCCCCATGCCCCCCCCCGCGTCTTCCACAATCCCCCCTTCCTCTACCATGGTCTTCTTATCCGCTTTCTGGACGAAGTAGCCAGTGACCTCACTATTTCCATCATCCTTGGGTGGCTGCCACTCCAACAGCGCGTTGGTGCCCCACACTTCCTTCACCATCACGTTCTCCGCAGGCCCTGCCTTTTCTGGAAGGAGGGTTGAGGGTTCCACACCAGCTGAAGTTCCCTGATAGCTGGCTCTGCCCCTCCCTTTTCTGATTACTCTTCCTCCTCTCCCTCTCCTCCTCTTCCTCTTCTCCTCCCTCTCCTCCTCCTCCTCTTCCTCCCCTTCCCCTCCTTCTCATTCTAACAGGGTCCCATGCAGCCCAGACTGGCCTCAAATTCACTTTATGGCCCAGAATGACCTTAAACTTTTCATCTTCCTTTGCCCACCTCCTGAGTGCTGAGAACGCAGGTGTGCGCCACCACACAGAGCTCGTGTAGTCCTGGGGGTGCAGCCCAGGGCTTCACACATGCTAGGCCAGCACTCTATCAACTGAGTCATCCCCAACCCTGTGGCTCAGCTTTCAAGGTTCCAAACCTCTGTCCTTCCCTCCTCCCCTCCTGGGCTACACGCCTCCCTCCTCCCCTCCTGGGCTACACGCCTCCCTCCTCCCTGCCCATCCTCTACCCCCACATGCCCTATCTTTCCTCTCCTTCCCTAACCCTAACCCTCCACCTGCTCCCTGACACTGGTCCCCGCTCTGCCCAGCACACACCCACGACCCGGATGCGGATGGTGGCTGTGTCCTTCATGTTCTCAATCTGCACACTCAGCTCGTATTCCCCAGAGTCAGAGCGGGCCGCCTGGCGCACAAAGAACACGGTGTCGAAGTCGCTGGTCCTCACGTTCACGCGGGAGGTGTCTAGGGGCGCCCCACCCTTCGTCCACACCACCTGGGGCCGGGGCTTGCCCTGGAAGAGAGGACAGTGAGGAGAGAAGGCTCTGCAGGACGGTCTGGCTGCCTGAACTGCTCCGGCCCTGACCTCACCAGACTCTAGCCTTGACCCCAGTCCTGGCTCTGATCCCAACCCAACACTACCCATGACCCAAATTCTGATCCTAATCCTGACCCTGACCTTGACCCTGATCTTCATCCAATTCTGGCCCAGGCCCTGACTCTCACCCCAACTCTAGGTGACTCTGACACTGATCCTCACCCAACTCTAGCCCTGGCCCTGACCCCACCCAACTCTGGCCTTGACCCCAATCCTGACCCTAATGTTCACCTGACTATGGCCCTGGCCTTGACCCATATTCAGGCATTGACTCTTACCCTGACCCTGATCCTGGTCCTGACCTCTCTGTCCCTAATCCTCACCCTGACCCCGACCCTGACCCTGACCCTGACCCCAGTCCTGACCTCTCACTCTGTCCCTAATCCTCACCCTGACCCTGACCCTGACCCTGACCCTAGTCCTGATCCTGACCTGAGCCTCACCCCTGGCCCTGATTTAGTCCCAACTCTGGCCTTTTCCCTGACCCCAGCCCCAACCCTCACCCTGGCCCTGACCCTGACCCCAGACTGGACCCCAACCCCGACCCCAGCTGGAGTACCTGGAAGGGGATCACGAGGTTGAGGGCCTCCCCCACTTTTCGGATGTAGGTCTGGCGCAGGTGGCGGGGCAGACGGATCTTGGGTTGCTCTGAGGGAGTGAACACAGAGGGGCTCAGCACTGGCCTAGGGCCACTGGAGGGGCATGAGGTCATCTGGAAAGACCCTCGTGGAAGGATGCTGAATGTGGCTTCAAGGAGGGCTGTCAGGGACCAGGGGTCACTCACCCACAATCTCCCGGATTGTAACCGGCTGAAGCAAGGTAGCCGGTTCACTGCGCCCTGCAATGTTGACCCCAACGATGCGGAAGAGAATCCTGGCTCCCGTTGGGAGATCCTTCACAGTGAAGCCACACCGCTCCACGGGCTCCTTGTTAGCAGGGACCCATTCCTCAGCTGCATAGAGGAGCCACATGTGGATGGGTCACCCTCAGAACCTCTGCACCCCCTCCTGTCCCCTCAATAACCGCAGCCCCACTGAAGTGCAGGCTCTAGGAAGACCACCACAATGCCAAGCATTCGTGGGGACAATGCTGAGGGTCACAGGCCACAACATGGAGACATCGCACACACCGCAACACTGTGGCCCCATTTCAGGGACAAGGAAATGGGCTCAGCAAGGTTAATAAGCTGTCTAAAGTCACACAACTTGGGCACAGTGCAAGAAAAGGTGGGGTCAGGGATGAGGAAGGAGATGCTAGGGAGATATGGGAAAGCAGGAAGCTGACGAGGTACACCATCACTACTGTGTGTGGCCCGATGTGGCCATCACAGTGCCTAATCAACATGAAGGATGTAAATCGGATATGCCCCTCAAGGCCACATGGACACGGGCAGTTCAGGGGTGCTGCGGCTGTTTGACATTAAGGTGGGGCGGGCAGAGTTGGGGTGACATCCGGCCTGCCGAGTAGGGGTTGTGTGGGAGAAGCTGGGACTCAGCCCCATGGCAGGCAGCATGCGAGGGTGTATGTGAGACTGTGGGGGGGGTACTCAGATATGTATGGGTTTGTGTGATATTGTGTGAGTGTGTGCATTGTGCAGGAGTGTGTGATCATGTCTGTGAGTGTTAACGTGTGTCATTGTCATATGTATGTGGGGATATGTACTCAGATATGTGTGGGTTTCTGTGTTATGTGGGCATGTGCAGGAGTGCGTGATCGTGTCTGTGAGTGTGTGTGTGTGGATATGTCGTGCATATGTATGTGGGGACGTGTATACGGATATGTGTGGGTTTGCGTGTATGTGCAGAAGCATGTGATCATGTCTGTGAGCATGCATGTGTGTATGTGTCATTGTGCATATGTGTATGAGTGCTGTGAGTGTTTGAGTTTGTGTGATTGAGTGTGTGTGTGCGTGAGCAAGTGAATGGGTATTTGAAATGGAGTACTTGGGTGCTTCCATAAGTGTGTGTGTGTCCTGTGTGTGTATGCGTGTGTGTCTGAATGTGTATGTGATGGATTTGTGAGTGTGTGTATTCGTTCATTTGGGAGCTAGTGGAAGTGTGTGTGCACACCAGCATGCGCGTGTGAATATATTTGGAGTGTGTGGATGTGTGTAGCACAGGTGGACGGTCGGGGGATGAGAGGTGACACGCAGATGGGTGGGAAATCAATATGAAAACGAGAGAGGAAGGGAGGAAGGGGAATAGAAAGAACTAAAGAGGATCGGAGGGGCAGGGTGAATGGACAGAGGCTCTAGGGTGGGTACAGGGAAGGAGGGCAGACAAATGAAGCCTTTCCAGTATGGAGAATGGAAGGAGAGGCACGCTGCTGGGAGGGGTCTGGTGCACCCCAGGCACTGAGCCAGCTGTGTCCCCTGAGCAGCCCTGGGTCATGCCCTGGCCGGACCCCACCCATCAGTGCGGCTGAGTACCACTCACAGCCCTCCAGACAGTACTCCACCAGGTAGCCATCAATGCCGCCTGCGCCGATCCGGTCCGGGGGCCTCCACTTGAGCGTGGTGGTGGTGTCGGTCACGTCCTCCACGGTGAGATGCTGGGGTGCACTTGTGGGAGCTAGAGGGACCAGAGAGAGTGAAGGACCAGAGGTCAGCAAGAGAGGGCATGGGTCCAGAGCCCAGGCAGGGATCACTGCGGGGCGCCAGAGGTCAGTAAGCAAGGAAGGACACAAAGGGAGATTTAAAACGTAGTATGGAACCAGGCACCGAGGCTCACGCCTACCCGCCCCACATTTGGAAGGCAGAGGTGAATTACTACAATTCCAGGCCTGAGAGCTTGTCTAAGAAAGAGGGAGAGGCAGGAACTGTAGCTCAGAGAAAGAACGCCTACCCAGAATCCCCCAGTGAGGGGCTGGGGTGTGGCTCAGTGGTGGAGCTCCTTCCTGCCTAGAATCCCCCAGTGAGTGCTGGTGGGGTGGGGGCGTCCTGGGCTCTATCTCCAACACCAAATAATTAATAATAATAATTAATAATAATAAACAGCCAGACGTGGTGGTGCACGCCTTTAATCCCAGCACTCTAGAGACAGAGGCAGGTGGATCTCTCTGAATTCAAGGCCAGCCTGGTTTACATAGTGAGTTCCAGGACAACTGGTCTCAAAAAGACCAAAAAAAAAATAATACAAAGATGTTCCACTTTCTGTGAGTCAAAGGCCAGGCATGGGGTTGGAGACAGATGTGGGGCAAAGTGGGTAGCAGACGCTGGGGGAGGGAAAGGGAGAGGGTGGCTGTACCAATGGGCATGAAGGGCTTGGTGTTCATGCTGGGCTGAGAAACACCGATGGCATTGACAGCGAAGACGCGCATCTCGTAGAGGACACCCTCAATCATCTTGGTGGACTCGTACGTGGTCTCCGTGAAGACCTCGAAGTTCAGCTTCATCCAGCGCTGGGAGCCCTTCTTCTTCCGCTCCATCAGGTATCCTGCATGCCCCAGGCAGATGGGGGTGGAGGTCACGGTGAGGGGAGGTCACACAGAAAGGATCATACCACCTACATCAACCTGACCCTCAGTGCCAAAGCCTTCCAGGGGCTGCTATCATGGCCTTGGAAATCAAGAGGTCAGGGGGTCCCAGAAAACCCCAGGCTACAGAGCCAAAGTGAGATTTATTTCGAGGTCACTGGGGAACAAGGGATGATGGTAACATTTAATGGTTTCAGAAGGTATAGAGCATGGAAACCCAGAGCTGGAAGTGTTCTGTTCCTGTTGGCTTGATACTCAGGGGCTGAGGGCCATTGCACAAATTCAAGGCCAGGCAGGGCTACAGAGTGAGTCCTTATCTCAAAAATAAAGAGAGGGCCTGGTGTGGTGCTGCAGGCCTTTTAATCCAGCATTTGGGAGGCAGAGGCAGATGCATCTGTGAGTTCAAGGCCAGCCTGGTCTACATACAAAGTTCCAGGTCAGTCAGGGCTGCATAGTGTGACCTCGTCTCAAATAGGAGGAGGAGGAGTTGGAGGAAGAGGAGGAGGAGGAGGAAGGGGAGGAGGAAGAGGAAGAAAGAGGAGGAGGAGGAAGTCATCGCCAGATGCAGTGCCCTGGGCTTGTAATCCAAGCACTGGGAACATGGAGACAGCAAAGTCTCTAGGGCTCACTGGCAGCAGCCTAGCTAATCACTGAACTCCAGGCTCAGGGAGAGGCCCTGTCTCAAAAGATTGGGTTAAAATATGGCGACTGGGGCACTGGCTGCTCTGGCAGAGAACTAGGATTCAGTTCCCAGAACCCACATGGAGGCTAACAACTGTCTATAACTTCTCCAGTTCCAGGGTATCTGACACCCTCTACTGGCTTCCACAGGCATTGCACCCATGTAATGCACTTACATACATGCAGGCAAAACACTCATACACATAAAATAAATCATATTTAAAAATAAGGTGGAGAGTAGTAAAGACACCCAGCTTTGACCTCTGAGCTACACACACACACACACGTGTGCACACAGACACAGAGACAGGTACACACACAGACATGCACACACACACGCACATATGCACACACATGCACACAGACATGTGTGTACACAGACATACACACAGACAGATACACACACACAGAAACAGGCATATGACATACACACCGACAGGCACACACACAGACACTCACACACAGAGACAGGCACACAGACACAGACACATTGGCATGCACACAGACACAGAGACAGACACACAGACACACACAGACAGGAACACACATGGCACACATACACATGGCACACACAGACAAGCACACAGACAGGCATGCAGACACATATGCACATAGACACACAAAAGCACACATAGTACACATACAGACACACACAGACAGATACACATATACACAGATACAGATATATACATAGACACAGGCACACAGACACACACATATTCACAGAGACACACAGAGACACACATACAATATACATACAGACACAATACATATACACAGACAGATACATGTATACACACAGATACAGATATATACCCACAGGCACACGCATACACACACACTTATGCACACACACAAAGATACAAACCCAGGTCCCACGGGAGACCCACAGAGAAGCCAGGGACTCGGGTTAAAGAGCAGTCAGAGGGCAGGGTTGTGTGGACACGCATGTGGCCACTCACCGGTGACCGGCTGTCCCCCGTCATACTTCGGTGGTTCCCAGACCAGAATGGCCCAGTCCTCACCAACAGAGGTGACACGTACAGCCTCCGGAGGGTCAGGGACATCTGGGGAGGGTGGTGACAATGAGAGTCAGGAGACACCCTTGGTGACCTCGGGGAGCCACCCCACTGGTCATCCCTCCTTGACCCTCTGCTCACCCACAACACGCAAGAAGATGGAAGCCACGTCCTCTCCCACAGGGTTGGTAACTTTGATCGTGTAGCGGCCCTCGTCTGAGCGCTCTGCGCTCTCAATCACAAAGCTGCTGCAGTCCGGCCTCTGCTCAATGTGTGTCCTGCCCTCAGTGGCTGTGAACACCTGGACACAACGGGCTGAGTGGGTTACTGAAGATGGGGATGGACTGCTCAATTCTTAACTAGCTGTTTGAAAAGCTCAATGAAGGGAGAGTCCATCATATGCTGGGCCCCCAGGACATGGCTGACCAACACAATTTCATCCTCAGAGCCCCACACAGAAGGAAGCCTTGTTCTTACTTCATACAAGATGAACCTGAAGCTCAGACAGGAAGAGCAACTGACCTGCAGTCACCCAGCAGAGCCAAGAAGGAGAAAACCTCAGGGTCTGAAACCTACCTCTTCTCCCTTCAACCAAGTGGCAATGGGAGGTGGCTCCCCTGTGACGGCCACATCTAGCCTCAGCTTGTTTCCAGCTACAACCACGATCGAGTTGTCTGAGGTCTTCCCTGAGCAGTCCAGGTGGATCTTTGGGGGTTCTAGAGATGCAGAAGGGACTCTGGGTACCTGGGGCCTGGGTCTCCAAAACCACCACAGGATCCCCAGAGAAGCCAGTGTCCAGGTCTGGACCCCAAAGACCCCAGCCTCCTCCCCCAGACCCAGGAGTCCTCCCCAGCTTCTTCCCTCAGACCCAGGAGTCCAGACCCCAGCCTCCTCCCTCAGACCCAGGAGTCCTCCCCAGCCTCCTCCCTCAGACCCAGGGGTCCAGACCCCAGCCTCCTCCCTCAGACCGAGGGATCCTCCCCAGCCTCCTCCCTCAGACCCAGGGATCCTCCCCAGCCTCCTCCCTCAGACCCAGGGATCATCCCCAACCTCCTCCCTCAGACCCAGGGTCCAGACCCCAGCCTCCTCCCTCAGACCCAGGGATCCTCCCCAACCTCCTCCCTCAGACCCAGGGGTGCAGACCCCAGCCTCCTCCCTCAGACATATGCGTTATACTGGAGCCCTGATCTTTACCTTGCTTAGGTACGTACTCCACCTTGATCTCTGGAGGAGAGGGAGGCAGGATAGTTAGAGCTGCACCTACAGACTCCTGATCCCCGCTCCCTCACAACCCAGAGGTAGAAGGAAGCATCTGTCAGCAACCCAGGACTGGGATCCTGGGGGAGGGACAGACTCATGAGCCATCCTGACTCCCAAGGAACAGGCATCAGCACACGAAGCTCTGTCCACCTTCTCAACTGCCCCCACCCATGGCTCCCACAGACAATTGCTGTCACCTCCATTGCACACCTAGGGACTCTTTTTTTTTTTTTTTGGTCTTTTTGAGACAGAGTCTGTCTCCCTGTAGCCCCAGCTGTCCTGGAACTCACTATGTAGACCGGGCTGGCCTTGCACTCACGGAGATCCACCTGCCTCTGCCTCCCAAGTGCTGGGATTAAAGGCGTGCGCCACTACGCCCGGCAAGGGACTCTTAATTTCTTAACTGACCTGCATTGTACAGCCGGGGACTCGTAAATCTGCAGGGAGACATCTGGGGACACTGGGATCTAGGAGAGAAGGTCACACATCCCCAGGAGAAAAGGGAGGATGTCTGTACCCAGGAAGTTGAGCTTGGCTGAGAGGGACAGAGCGTAGCCATCAGGCACAAATGTATAGTCTCCCTCATCCTCGGGGCGGACATCATCGATCACCAACTTATGGAATCTAGAATCAGAAGGGAAGTGCATGGGATCAGGCCTGGTTACCCCTATACACTTTCCTTAGCACCAACATCAAAAAACGTGTGCGGAGGGCAGAGGTTAACCATGGGCATCTTTCCTCAGGTGCCGTCCACCTTGATTTTTAAAAGATTTATTTCTCTTTATTTTATGCATATGAGTGTATTGTCTGCATGTGTGTAAGTGCACCTGTGTCATACAATGCCCATGGAGATCAGAAGAGGGCATCAGATTACCTGGAACTGGAGTTACAGATGGTTGTTAGCCACCATGTGGGTGCTGGGAACTGAACCTGGTCCCCTGTAAGAACAGCCAGTGCTCTTAAGCTGAGCCATCTCTTCAGCCCCCGTGTTTGGTTTTATGTGAGTGGTGTTAACAAACACATAACATCTATTGCAAAGCATGTGCTGTATGTCAGACATGGTGTTTTAAAACAATGAACAGGACACAGAATCTGTCTTTGAGAACTTCATGACTTAGGAACTTAAATATATTGGGATTGCAACCAGCATGGCTTCTGAGGATTAAGCTGTTTAGAATATAAAAATGTGGCAGTCTTTAGAGAAAGCAGGACCTGGAACTGGAGTTACAGATTGTTGTTAGCTGCCATGTGGGTGCTGGGATTCGAACATGGGTCCTCTGCAAGAGCAGCCAGTTATCTAACTGCTGAACATCTCTCTACCCCCCTGACCCCTTTTGGAGGTAAGGTCTTTCAGTGGGACCACAATCTCCCCCAAGTAAACCAGGCTGGCTGGCCAGCAAGTCCCAGGGATCCATCCACCTGGCTCCACTTCCCTGGACTCATACCACCAGGCTCAGCTTTATGTGGGCGCTGGGGACAGAACACAGGTCCTCGTGCATGACAGGCACTTTACCCCCTGAGCCATCTCCCTAACCTCCCTGGGTGCTGTTTTAATTTGAGGTTTTTTGATGCTCTGGCCTGAGTTTGAATCCCACTTCCTAGCTGTGTGACTTCAGACACACTACTAAACCTCTCTGGGCTATGTTTTTTTGTCTGTAAATAGAGGTAATGATGGGGTTGGAGAGATGGCTCAATAGTTAAGAGCACTGTCTGCTCTTGCAGAGAACCAAGGGTCAGTTCCCAGCACATGGCAGCTAACAACTGTCTGTAGCTCCAGTTCCAGGGGATTTGACACCCTCTTCTGACCTCTTCAGGGATTGCACACGAGCTCACTTACATACATGCAGGCAATACATTCATAAACATTTAAAAATAGAAATAAAATTAAATTTAAAAAATAGAATGCAGGGGCTGGAGAGAGGGTTTAGCAGTTAAGAGCATTGGTGCTCTTGAAGAGGACCCGGGTTCAGTTCCCAGCACCCACATGGTGGCTAATAACCATTCATAACTCCAGTTACGGGAGAGCCAATGCCCTCCTCTGACCTCCATGGGCATTGCATGCAGGCAGTACACTCACACATATAAAATAATCATAATAAATAAAGTATTTCTAAAAGAATAGAATGAGGACATGCTATCTAAGCGCTGTGGTGAAGTGCCTGGCACTCAGCAGATGCTCATATATGGTCCCAGGTGGTCCCTCCCTGTATTATGCATTTGCCGTGAGATCTTACTGGGTCAGCCAGCCCCCAACGAACCCACAGACTCATAATTAAAATGATCATTGTTCTTTTAAACCAGTGAGTTTGTTACACAGCTCTAGCTAACTGATACACCTAACCAACCTGTTGACTCAGTTAAAACAACTCTTGTTCTAAACCAGTGAGTTTGTTACACAGCTCTAGCTAACTGATACACCTAACAACCTGTGGACTCAGTTAAAACAACCCTTGTTCTAAACCAGTGAGTTTGTTACACAGCTATAACTTACTACTAATGTCCTACAAAACCCATCATTTCATCAGCTTTGTCTTACCTGCCCACATGGGAGATGGTGATCCTCTTGCTGGGTCGTACTTCTACCCCGTTCTTGTACCACTTGCCTGTCACCTTCTCATCAGATACCTCACACTTGAACATGGCCTGTTCTGAGGCCTTCACTGTCAGGTCCGCAATGTCCTGCAGGACCTCTAGCTGTTTCTCTGGATGAAGAGAAAAGAGGGTGAGGCACTCACTACTCTAGTCAGGATATAAGCACCAATGAACACCCACTATGTTCTGACCTTCATCACTCCAATCAGGATACTACTGAGTACCCACTGTGTGCTAACCCTTACACTCTAGTCAGAACACAAACACCAAGGGCAGCCACGTGCTAACCCTCACACTCCAGTCAGAACACAAGCACCAGGAGCACCCACTATGTGCTAACCCTCACACTCCAGTCAGAACACAAGCACCAGGAGCACCCACTGTGTGCTGAGTGCTGTTCTATAATCATGAAAAACTCCAAAGCCACTTGTTGCCTGTGGAGCATCACATTGCAGCAGGGAACAGTGGACAGGAAATGCTGTGAACAGAGGTGAGGTGGTCTGACCAAGGTGGCATGGACTCCACAGAGGATGCTAAGAGCTTCCCAGGAACAGTGTGCAGAAGCTCCAAGGTGGGCTGGGGTGTGGCTCAGTGGTGGAGCCCCTGCCTAGGATCCCCCAGTGAGGGGCTGGGGTGTGGCTCAGGGGTAGAGCCTAAAATCCCCCAGTGAGGGGCTGGGGTGTGGCTCAGTGGTAGAGCCCCTGCCTAGAATCCCCCAGTGAGGGGCTGGAGTGTGGTTCAGTTCATAATGTTTTATATAACAGTGGAACAGTGTGCAAACCAGGGCCCTGTGAAGGATCCTGTCGACCAGACTACAGACCTTGCTCAGTGCTCTGTGTGGGGAAGGAGGTGTGGGTGGTGAGTGGGACAAATGTGAGGAGGTTGCACCAGGTGAAGGCAGTAGAAGAAGCACTAAGATCCGAGGCCTGAGCAACTTCATTCCGCCTTCCTGCAGGAAGCCTTACCTTCCACAATGAGCTCCGCCTCACACTGGCCACCATTGGTTATGACCTGATAGCGGCCCCCATCCTCCTGTGACACATCCGAGTAGATGAGGATGTGACGCTTCCCATCCTTCTTGAAGCGGTAGCGTGCCTTGTAGGAGTCCTCCCGTGTCAGCTCCACACCGTCTTTCATCCTGGGTGGGAAAATGATGCATCAGTGGATAGTAGGTGGAGAGATGGATGGTGGATGGATGGATGGATGGATGGATGGATGATGGATGATGGGAGGATGATGGGAGGGTGATGGATGGATGATGGATGGATGGATGATGGATGGATGATGGATGAGAGTATGCATGATGGGAGGATGATGGATGGATGATGGGTGGATGGAAGATGAATGGATGGGTGAATGATGGATAGATAATGGATTATGGATAATGGAGGTATGATGGTGGATGACAGATGGGTGAATGATGGATGGAAATGCATGGGTGAAGTAGGGGATGGATGGATGGACAATAGATGCATGGATAGACACACAGATAGATGGGTCAAAAGGCAGATAACTGGCTGGTAGGTAAATTAACAATTAACTCAACCACAGGGATCAGGAAAAGATCCTGAAGATCTTGGCTAGAGATCAGAAGTTCTCCAATGGTGAGGTCATATAAAAAAAAACGACTGAGGTCTCAAGTGCCTCCTGAGGGAAGGTCAGAGTCTCCAGGGAAGTTTTGGTTCCCACAGAGACCATAAGAACCCATAGGCACCTATGCTCAGCTCAGGAGCCAAAGCTCACTCACCACATGACCTGTGCTCCCTCTTCAGACACCTCTACTGCCATTTCCACTCGATCACCCACGAACACCTGCTGGTCCTCCAGTGGGGTCACAATCAGGACTGGAGGCTCTGTGTGGTGGGGCAAGGAAGCCAGAGGCATCAGGACCTTGTCCACTCTCCCTTCCCCAGGTTTGGACTGGAGAGGCAGCCTCACCTTTGACAAAAAGCTCGGTGAAGCATTTCTCGTCTTTGACTGCCACCTCGTATGCAGCATCATCTGCCAGCGTGCACTTGTTGATGGTGAGAATTCTCTTCTTCCCCACATTCTCAAACACATACCTAGTGTGAGAGCACAGCCTCAGCCCAGGCACTGAGCACCAGCGCAGTCCCAGGTCAGAATGACCAACCGTCCTCCAAGCCAGTCTCTCTCTATCTAGGAGTCCATGGATGGAAGGGGATAGATGGTCTAATTCTGAGCATGGTGTGGTGGTGCATGTATTTAATCCCAGCACTCAGGAGGCAGAGGCAGGTGGATCTCTGTGAGTTCGAGGCCAGCCTGGTCTACATAGTGAGTTCCAGGCCTGTAACTTGGGCTACAGGGAGACCCTGTCTCAAAAAGACAGAAAGAAAAGAACGAAAGAACAAAAGAGAAAGAAAGAAAGAAAGAAAGAAAGAAAGAAAGAAAGAAAGAAAAAAAGAGGAAGGAAGGAAGGTCTAATGCCTTTTTCCCTGAATCTTTATGAGAGACAGGAGAGAGAGAGAGAGAGAGAGAGAGAGAGAGAGAGAGAGAGAGGAGAGGAGAGAGAGAGAGGAGAGAGAGGAGAGAGCAATCAGAGGATATGTGGGAGTTCTCTCCTTTCCCCATGTGGATCCCAGGGATTGAACTCAGGTTGTCAGGCTTGGTGGCTTTTACCCACCAAGCCATCTTCCCAGCTCACAGAGGGTCTAATTTCTATTATTTAAATAACCAAGCCAAACTGGCCATGGTGGCTCACCTCTGTCATTCCAGCATTCAGGAGGCTGAGGCAGGAGGATTGCCATGAGGTCCAGTCCAGCCTGGGCTACAGAGAGAGACCTTTTCTCCCCAAAACAAAATACTATGCCCTTAATCACAGCACTTGAGAGGCAGAAGCAGGTGGAGGTCTGTGAGTTTGAGGTCAGCCTAGTCTACATGGTGGGTTTTAGGCCAGCTAGGTCTACGTAATGAACCCTGAAGCTCCTTCTCAAAAAGAATGTTCTAATGTCCATTATAAAATACACAACCAAAGGGAAAGGTTGGGCCCCATTCTTTCTCTGGGTGTTCTCTTTGGATCACCCTACACTTACTTGCTGCTTGGCTTGATCTCCTGGCCATTCTTGAACCACTTGAGAGGAAGATCTGGATCACTGATTTCCACCACCAACTTAATTTTGTTTCCCCTGTCTACTTGATAGGCTGGGTCAAGCTTCTTTGTGAAGGCTGAGGATAGAGAGACGGCCAAGGAAGGGAGAGAGGACAGAGGGATGGAGAGAGGACCAGGGGATGGAGAGAGGACAGGGAGACGGAGAGAGGACAGAGGGATGGAGAGAGGACCAGGGGAGGGAGAGAGGACAGGGAGATGGAGAGAGGACCAGGGGATGGAGAGAGGACAGGGAGACGGAGAGAGGACAGAGGGATGGAGAGAGGACCAGGGGATGGAGAGAGGACAGGGAGATGGAGAGAGGACCAGGGGATGGAGAGAGGACAGGGAGATGGAGAGAGGACCAGGGGATGGAGAGAGGACAGGGGGATGGAGAGAGGACCAGGGGATGGAGAGAGTACAGGGGGATGGACCGAGGACAGAGGGATGGAGAGAGGACAGGGGGGTGGATGGATGGCTAGAAGAGTTCCTCGCTGCCCTGGTCATCCCCAGAGGAGCTGGTCTTCTTCCCAGACTCGGACTCTCCAAGGTCAAGTCTATAGGCTCCCTCTTGACCTAGAGACTGTTGCGAGTGAGACTCAACAATTCCTCAGATTGGGACCTCCAAAGCCAGGGTCCAGAGTGCAGATGGACCCACAGTGCAACCCCCCAGTGTTGGAGGTCTCTAGGACAATCCCTATCCACCTTGGGCCGGTGCTGACCTGCACTCTTCTTGACCTCGACCTTGGCCTTTTTGAGCCGCTTCAGCATGCCCCGCAGGTCGGTGATGCCGTACTGGAAGGCGATCTTCTCATACTCGCTCTTCTTGGCCCCTTTTAGCAGCTCCCAGATCTCCGGGGGAATGCCCAAGTCATCGTCATCTTTTTTCTTCTTCCTTTCCTCTTCGACAACCTCCCTGAGGAGGGGGCAGACAAGGCCACCAGGAGTGCGGCGAGGCTGCCTTCCACCTCCCTGGCTTGTTTGCTGTGTGATTCACCAGCTACTCTGCACTTGTATTTTTCACGTGGGTCACTGCCCAGCATCTTCCTTCCCTCCCTCCCTCCACCCATTCATCTATCCATTTCCCAATTATCCAGCCCTCATCCATCCATCCACCCATCTATCCATACATCTATGCATCCAACGACCCATTTAGTCATCTGTCCATCGATCCACCCACCTATCTATTCATCTATTCCTTCGCCTTCTCACTACCCCCCTGTCCTCTCTCCATCCCCCGGTCCTCTCTCCATCCCCCTCTCCTCTCTCCATCCCCTGGTCCTCTCTCCATCCCCTGGTCCTTTCTCCATCCCCTGGTCCTCTCTTCATCCCCTGGTCCTCTCTCCATCCCCCTGTCCTCTCTCCCTTCCTTGGCTGTCTCTCTATCCTCAGCCTTCACAAAGAAGCTTGACCCAGCCTATCAAGTAGACAGGGGAAACAAGATCAAGTTGGTAGTGGAGATCAGTAATCCAGACCTTTCTCTCATCCACCCACCACCCACCCATCCATGCATGCATGCATCCATCTATCCACCTATCTATTAATCTACCCATCCACCCACCAACCATCCATCCATGCATCCACAGTTCATGCATACATACATCCAACAATGCACCCATCCACGTATACATACATCCATGCATTCATCCATCCACTACCCATCCACCTATCCATTCATGCATCCATCTGCCCCCCACCCATCTGTGCATCCATCCCACCCACCCACCATCCATCTATGCATCCATATCCTCCTCCAGCAAAATGTATTGATCACCTTCTTTTCCACCCATTTCCAACATCGACATCAATATCTCTTCCTTCTTCTAAACTTTGTCTCGGCTCCCACCTCCCTCAGGAGGAAGCACTAGCTCCTCAGCTTGACTGACCTGACCTCGCCCTGCCCACCACCTTTCCAACATGACGCTCAATCATGCAAACCAAGCTTCGTGCCCTGTCTTTAGTACTCCAAGGTCATTGTTGTCTCCTAGGGTCTTTGCCACCTCTCAGCCTCTTATGTCTCTACCTTCTTACCCCTTCCCGTCCTCTAAACCCTAGTGCTAGAGCTTTCTCCTCTGTGAGACATCCCCTGTCCTCCAAGGCAGCAACCTGCTCTGCCCCTGAGTTCTGGCCCTGGTCTCTTAGGTCCTTGCAGACACTTCTTCTGACCTCATCAGTTGTCTCCTTTGTTCCCCTGTCTTTGGACCTGACATAGCTTCCCAAGTCATTGAGAGTTGCGGCAGGACCCAGTGTTCTGTGCCTCAGGCTTGGTTCGGCACCTGGTGGATAGATGGTCTCACAAGATGCATGGGGCAAGAGGGAAGGAAGGTATGCGTGAATCATCGTTGGGAACAAGGAAGTGTGGGACAGAGGGTTGATGTGTGGGTGAATGTGGGGACATGAATACTGGATTGATGTGAGAGCAGCGGGTGATGGTTGGGCACATGCCTGCATGGGTAGGCTGGTTGGAAACAGCCGGGCAGGCATTTTGGTCATAGGTGGACATGAGATGGTCAAGCCCATGGATGGTGGGTGGGAGATCCCTTGAGGAATAGATTAGTAAGTGGAACTCTCCAGGAGCAGGTGATGGGAGTGCAACAGGGATGTGAAGGAGGAACTGAGGCCCAAAGCACGGTGGGTCCCCAAGAGAGAATACCCATTCTGGAGAACCACAGGAAATAGCTACAACCCAACTGTGTGTGTGTGTGTGTGTGTGTGTGTGTGTGTACATGCGTGTATGTGCCATGCCATGTGTATAGTAGAATCAGAGGACAATTTTCAGAAGTCAGTTCTTCCCTTCTACCATGTGGTTCCAGGAACTGAACCCAGGTCATCAGGCTTGGCGGCAAGCACCTTTACTCACTGCACCATCTCCCTGCCCCACCTTAGTTTTTGAAGCAGGGTCTCTCACTGAACCTGGACCTCACTGATTGGCCTAGGTGGGCTGGTCAGCAAGCTCAAGCGATCTTCCACATCCAGCTTTTACAAGGGTGCTGGGGATCTGAACTCTGGTTCTTACACTTGCACGGAAAGCACTTTACCCACTGAAGCATGTCCCCAGCCTCAGTCAAATCATTTTTACTAAATCAACCTCAAATAGCTCATTTAGCAGAAAGCTTTGGGGTGGTGTGTGGGCAGTGAAGACAGAGGACGCAGGCTGGATGGGTGCATTTGTGAGCCGGTGGCTGAATGTGGGACCATTGGGTGTGGTCAGAGAGATAGACATGGGTACAGATGAAGACAGACAGGAAGGTGGATGGATGTAAGGAGGGATAGACAGGTGCTCCATTGGTGGAGAGAGTGGATGGGTGGAGGGAGGGTGAATGGGTGAGTTCACAAATGGGTTTCTGGATGTAATGGTGATTCAGTGCCCAACACCCACGTTGGGTGGGTCACAAGCCCCTGTAACTCCAGCTCCAGGAAATCTGATGCACTCTTCTTTGTAAGCAATTGCACTCACCACACACACACACACACACACACTCATTCACACACTCACACACACTCATTCACCGCACACACACTCACACTCATTCACCACACACACTCATTCACACACACTCACACTCATTCACACACTCACACACATTCATTCACCACACACACACACTCATTCACGGCATACACACTTATTCACTACACACACTCATTCACACACACTCAACACACTCACATTCACACACACACACTCACTCACACACACACACTCATTCACCGTACACAGAAAGAAAGGGAGAGAGGGAGGGAGGGAGGGAGACAGAGAAAGAAGAAAACCAGGGAGGGCTATAAGGAGAAGTGGGGTATTGGGGCTTCACCCATTACCCTCCTCCCCATGGCCCCACCCCCTTTCTATGCCAACCTCACCTCTTCTTCAACAAACCGCTGAAATCCAGTTCACCCGCATCTTCTGACTTCCCATCACCCCTGAGGCCATTAAGAGGGGGTGTGAGACTCACTGAGATCCATTCCAGGGGCCCCACTCCCTGCCCCCAGTATATCTGCCTCCCAAGGAAAAGCCTCTTTTGCTTCTCAGCACCAGGAGGTGCCTGTCCAGGGGCCCAGGGACACTCACGAGCGCTTGAAACTCTCCAGGCTCTGTCCTGAGGAGTCCTGCTGGGGCGCTGGGACAGGAGATAGGGAAGGGAAGGAGAAGCAAAGACCATGTTTGGGCATGCACAGCCTCTCTGGTACCCTTTCCCTGTCTTTTGGGTCAACATGCCCTGTCTCCAAACCTAGACAGTCATATTGACTTTGGGGGTGTTTTTTTGTTTGTTTCGGTTTTTGTTTGTTTTCATTTTGAGACAAGGTCTCCCTGTAGTTGGCCTGGAACTCGCTAAATAGACCAAGCTGGCCTCAGTCTCGCAGAGATCCACCTGCCTCTGCCTCTTGAGTGCTGGGATGATAGGCGTGTGCCATCATGGGGGGCACAGCCCTTGCTCCTTGGGACCCCCACTTCTCGGCACCCCTTACCCAGCAGCCTTCACTTCCCTGTGAACTGGCAGATCCTGCTTCATCAATTTCAGGCCCCCATATATTGTGAGCTGCAGATCCCCTCCCCCAGGCTGATACCTTGGGGGAATTCCTGCACGTGCCCCTAAATCTGCCTGACTTTGCTTCCTCTGATGCACCCCATCCTGAATGGGTACACCCAGGTTCTATGAGGCCAAAGTCTCTGGCTCCCCAAACCTTCAGCCTACTTAAACCTGGAAGCCACTCACCTCCTGAGACTTTGCGTGCTGCACCCCAACATGCTGAACCACACTTACATCCCTGAGTCCCCCAACTTATTTACATTTATTTTATGTGCATATTTGTCTGCATATGTGTGTGTGTGTGTGCGCACGCGCACCCGCGTGTGCGGACACCACGTACATGTAGCACAGGCAGAGGCTGTAAGAGGGCGTTAGATCCCCTGGACTGCAGTTACAGACAGTTCTTAGTCACCGTGTGGGTGCTGGAAACTGAACCCTGGTCTTCTGGAAAAGTAGCCAATGCTCCTAACTGGTGAGCCAGCTCTCCAATCCCTCTCCCCAAGTCTGGAACCCCCTGACCAGAATCCAGACTCCAGACTCCTTCCTCCTAGAACCTGGGACTGCCTGGCCTCCACAGCTGTACACCTCTCTGTGCTGAGCTGGTGCATGCACTCCCAGCTTGGCCTGGACTCTCCCAGCCCTCCCACCTCCCTGCCAGCACCCTGCCCCTCGCCAGCTCCCCGCCCCTGCCAGCGCACCCTCCACATCCACGTTGAACGGGCAGCTATCGCAGACGTCCTTGGCTTTGACCTCCAGGCGGTAATCCCCACGGTCCCCTAGGACCACCTTCCCAATGTGCATCTCCACCGTGTACACCTGGGGGCGTGGCCAGGGGCGGCGTGCCTGTGATGCTTACAGTAGTGGCCAAGTCTCCACCTTGCCCCACAGCACAGGCCATGGAGATCCAGCAAGGGGCCCCAGCCTGTGCCAGCTGGTCCCCTGTGCCTCCTGGGAGACACATGATGACTCCTTGAAGCCTTTGGGACACATGGCTGCGCCCACTGCTCAGCTCTAGCCAGAGCAGTCCCAGGCCAGCCGACCCCAGCCACCATCCAGGGGACCCGAGCTTCCTCTAGGGAACCCCAGACCTCCATGATGCCTCTTGGCGTCTCACCCCACCCAACTCAGTGACTCAGCCTCCTCCAGCGGGATCCTCACATTGCTGGCCAAGTCGTGGGACTCCTTGAAGGCGAAGCGGGCTCCGCTTTTGCTGCTGAGCTCCTGCCACTTTCCCTTGAACCATTTGATGGTTGGCTTGCCGGGGAGCTCCTTCCCGTTTACCTTGGCCACGATCACTGCGTCCTTCCCTGGGGGGTTGTGGGAGGGGGAGAAACCCAGGCTCTCAAGAGGGCTGCTCAAGACGCAGCCCTCCTCCCTCAGACCGAGGAGTCCTTCCCCAGCCCCCTCCCTCAGAATTAAAAGTCTTCCCTGGTTTCTTCCTCAGACCCAGGAGTCCTCCCCAGCCTCCTCCCTCAAACCCAGGGGTCCTCCCCAGCCTCCTCCCTCAGACCCAGGAGTCCTCCCCAGCCTCCTCCTTCAGACCTAAAGGTCTTCCCCCAGCCTCTTACCTCCGATCCATGGGACTCAGACCCCAGCTTCTTTCCTCAGATCCAGGGTCCTCCCCAGCCTCCTTCCTTAGACCCAAAGGTCCTCCCCCAACCTCCTCCTCAGACCTGGGGTCCAGTCTGTTCTCCCCAGGTGCTTACCGGTCTCCACTGACACGGAGTCTGGCTTTTTCAGGAACATACCCGTGGGCTCCTCTGCAGTTGGGGACTGGTCCTCAGGTGGGGCCTCTGATCAAGAGACAGGGTTAGGGTGTCAGGGGTTGTCTGAGGGGCAGAGGACCTCTTTGGTAAGAGCTCTGGAGCCAATGAGAAACCCTCTGCTCCAAAGACAGACTGTAGATGTAACTTGGGTTTTGACTCAGTGGCTGTATGACCTTGACTAGGCTCCCTCAGCCCTTGGGCCTCAGTTTCCCCATCTGTGGATTAGCAGATCTTAGGCAAGGTGATCCTGAAAGGACTTTGGAGTAAATATAGAGTGGGCTTCCGGAGCTGGGCTGCAGTTGCAGTCACTGATGAAGTCAGGAATGGAGCTTAGAGCAGCGCTCAGGACCAGGCCTGGGGCACCAGGGAACCATGTAGGGCTGTGAGCAGGACAGGGCTGTTCAGTTCTGACCCTGCGTTGGGATGACTACAGGAAAGAGGCCAGGAAAGGGTAGGAGCAACCAGCAGAGAGCCCAGGAGAGACAGAACGCCATTTAGAGGCATCCCAGGGAAGGGGCATCTCACCTTTGGGGGGCTCTGCAGGAACCTGCTTAGGGGGTGCTTCCTTGGGGGCATCCTTGCCTTTGGGGGCCTTTTTGGCTGCTGTGATAGAGAAGTTGAGAGTTCAGCCTCCTCCCTCAGACCCAGGAGACCTCCCCAGCCTCCTCCCTCAGACCCAGAGGTCCTCCCCAACCCTCCTCCCTCAGACCCAGAGGTCCTCCCCAGCCCTCCTCCCTCAGACCCAGAGGTCTTCCCCAGCCCTCCTCCCTCAGACCCAGGAGTCCTCCCCAGCCTCCTCCTCAGACCCAGAGGTCCTCCCCAGCCCTCCTCTGGCAGACTCAGGGGTCCTCCCCAATCTCCTCCCTCAGACCCAGGGGTCCTCTCTATCCCCCCCCATCCAGGAGTCTAGACCCCAGCTCCCTCAGAACAGGGATGGAGACCCAATCTCCTACCTCAGATGGAAGTAGGTGTGGTGGGGTGCAGACCCCCATTTCAATGTAAGTTCATTATAACCCTGATTCTGGAATCAGGTTTCTGCCACCGTCCTCCCCCCCCCCCCCGCTTAGCCACACCCTGGTCTCCAGACACCAGGCCTGACCTTTCAGATTTGGGGTATAATTAGCACTCCCCTGGGCTGGAAACCGGACACTGGTGCTGAGCACAGCAGTGTCCCACATGGTGCTGGTCTCTGGCCCGTGGGGCACAGCCTGTGCATGGGAGCTGGTCCCCACCCCTCAGCCTGGTTCAACTGACCACAGGGAACCAGCATTCTGGAGGAAGGTGACCCCCAGGTCTTGTGTGTAGTGCCTACTTCCTCATAAAGACAAACCCCATACACAGACTGCCTGGGTCCCTTGAACAAGGTCCCCAAACTGCCCATGGAGAAAGACTGGATTGCTGGGCATGCCTCTTCCTCAGGTGCAAGGCCCTGAGTTCCATGCCCAACCTCAGGAAAGAGGAAGAGACTGGCCCCATAATGCCTACACAGGGAAGCCCCAATTCTCACAGTAAGGGGGGTTCTCTTTATACTGAAAATTCCCATCTCCATGCAGATGAGCCCCACCTGTACCAGCAGAGGTGCCCACGATTTAGACAACCCCAATCCTCACTCAGTAAGGATGTCAACCCTCTTGAAGAGGACCTCATCCCCCACTGAGACCCGTGCACACACAAGAGTCCATCTACAACAAGAAAAGGGGACCCCAAGCCTGACACAGTGGGGTACACCTGCATCCCAACAATTCAGAGGCAGGAAGACCAGGAGTTCCAAGCCAGCCTGGGCTACAGCGTGAGTCTGAGGCCAGCCTGGGCTACATAAGATCCTGTCTTAAGAAAAATTATAAGCAGACAATTGTAATTTCCATCAGAATCAGAGCTCCTCAACCCACAGAGGAGGGGGCTCTCCACCATACACAGATATGAGACTCCCACTGCCCCACACAAGACAGGAAACCTGCTCACATGGAAGGAGCCCGCACTCTGCCCTATGTAGGAACAAGCCCAGAATCCCTTTCTTCTCATAGAGTAAACACCCCATTCTCCCCAACCCGCCCTCCCTAGGAAGGGGTCTGGTTCTCCACCTGGTTTAGCCTCAGGCATGTCGGCAACCTCCTCCTGTTCCTGGACCACAGTGCCTCTGGCCAGGCCCTAGGTGGGGACAGGTGGGTCCCCAGGAGGAGCCCTTTATGGAGTCTGGAAGCTCCCAGGAGGCAGCACAAGGCCGCCCCACATTCCTCCTGTGTGCTCTAAAGGGTGAGAAATAGCAAGTGGATAACGAGAAGTGGAGGAGTGCCAGGGCCCCAACGGGCGGACTGGGGGCGGGCGTAGACACCTGAGCCTGAGAAAGATGTGGGCAGGGGCTGTGAGACCTCAGGAGGAGGGGGTGCTTGGGACTCCAGAGTCTGGGGGCCCACAGGCCCAGATCCTTAGGTACTGGGGAAAGGAGGAGGAAAAAGGGGGAGGAAGTAAGGGGGCAAAGGCCAAGGATGGGGAAAGGGGCAGGGGAGGAGGAAGCACTTGTGTCCTGGGGTGGGGAGGAAGGGAAGGAGGAGGAAGAGTCCAAGTCTTGGGGAAGAAGAGGAAAATGTGAGGAGGAGAGTGAAGGAGGAGGAGGGGGCACCT